AGTTCGCAGAAGTATTGCAGTCTCGACGTAGCTACCACCCCTGGCGCAAAGGCAACAAGGGTAGCGAAATGCACGCTTCCGGCGATAAGCATTGAATTGTGATGGGTGGATTTTTTGCCCCTGGTGATCAGTCGGCCTTTCGGTGAGTATGTCAGCGTAGGGCACCTTCCCATAAAATTAACTTACCACTGATACGTCGCCAGTTCTTCAGTTTGGCCGTGATAATGCAATATACCGTGACGACAAGTCAAAATCCGGACCAGCTGTCTGACTACCTTGGGGTCAGCTGTAAATTCCATTGGTTCGAGCTCTGAGCATGTAGAGGATGGAGACGAAGGTACGGTCATTTTACGGCTTGCAGATCTAGGTGCCTTGAACTTACAGAGTCTTTATACAGTCCTGCAGTTCTTTCGATGGTCAGCTATTGCGCGATCGCCATTTTGAGTTACTCGGTCAGCAGTTCCAGCGGCTCGGCTAGCGCAACCGCTATCTGTCTAGCGTACTCGGTTACGATTACGCCATCATATCGGCCGGGCGTTATAATTTGTCGCTCACAGATCCTGCGGTCTTTTCTTAATGTCAGTTTCTCGTTATACCTGCGTTTGCAAGCACACTTTTACAGAGCAACACTATTTTAGCCAACATCAGCGCTCATGCTCTCAAGCGAGAAAGCGTCTTTCATCGGCGATGTCCTCTGTCAAGGAGCTTCTAAGCCGTAGGAAAAAGCCGCGCATCTCACAAGATGAGATTGGGCCTGCGGGACTCGTTGAATCGAATGATGTATCATCCACCAGCCATTTTACCTCCGGTGAAGTCGAGGATTTCACAGCATCACAACATCCCGAAGTTCCAGTCATTCCTCTACCCCTCCCATCGCTCGTTGTTGCAGGAGGCGATGTGACATCTGCATGCGAAGGAGAGCAGATAGGCAAAGAAGATGGCATGAGTTTGGCAAAGCGCCGCCCTAGACGCCAGAATCGTCAGTTGCCCATGCGGTTCAGGGACGTGCTCCCTCAGCCTCCACCAACTGTACCAGTGGAAGTTCGTGAGCGGCTGCCAGAATCTGTGGGGTCTCTCGTTGCTTCAGAGCGACCTGCTTCACGAGTTAGCGCTGTATTTCGGACCCCCTCAAATGTTTTCTGATTAGTACGGCAATACTTCTCCTCGAGGGTACCATCCCATGATCCAGAGGAGTACGTCACTATAACAGACCTCTCGTTTATACCGGGCAGCCCTGAAACCATTGAAGGATCACATGCACCTGCCGCTTCCACCAACAACTCTCAATATCACCCCTATCCCAATCGCTCGTCCTTCGAGCTCGGTGATTGGTATTGGAATCATGGTTTGCAAAAGTCTCAAGGGGACTATGAAAAACTATTGCAGATCTTGGGCGGCAGTACTTTCAATGCTGCCGATGTAAGTTCCACTTGTTGGAAAAAAATCAATTCTCAACTGGGAACCAATGAGTACGACGAGGAAGATGGAGAAGAGTGGGAGGACGAAGATGCGGGATGGAAAAGGACAGCCATCACCATCCAGGTACCATTTTCACGTACCGCCGAACTACCAGGCCCACGGCTTTATGAAGCCGCACATTTATATCATCGCTCCCTTGTCGCTGTCTTGCGGGAAAAGCTTGCCAAGGCCCGAGATGATATGCTATTTCATTACGAGCCATATCAACTGCACTGGGCTCCTCCCCATCTGGATGGCGAAGTCTCCATCTACGGGGACCTGTACACATCTGCAGCCTTTCACGAAGCTCACAGCAACTTGCAAGAATCACCCGGGGAACCTGAATGCGATTTACCCCGGGTTATAGCTGGCCTCATGCTTTGGTCCGATGCGACGCAACTAGCTTCTTTTGGCAATGCTAAACTATGGCCTACGTATATGTACTTCGGCAATGAGTCGAAGTATCGCTGCTGCAAGCCCTCATGCAATTTGAGTAATCACGTTGCTTACTTCGAAACGGTACGTGTTCATCCAGAGTTTGATATCAAGTATGCTTAAATACGTTGGCAGCTTCCTGATTCATTCAAAGATTTTGCAGGCGCTAATGGAATCAATAGCGAGTGCGCAACACATTGTCACAGAGAGTTCTTCCACGAGCAGTGGAAAATATTGTTAGACGATGAATTTTTGGAGGCATACGAGCATGGGATCGTTGTTCTTTGTTGCGACGGTATTCAGCGCAGATTCTACCCCAGGATCTTCACTTATTCAGCAGATTATCCTGAGAAGTAAGTAAACTAAACTATCACGTCGAATTACACTGATTTTTGTTTGTATAGAGTACTTGTAGCAACGGTTCGAAATCTAGGAGGTTGTCCGTGTCCCCGTTGCCTGATCCCCAAAGAACGGATACAAAATATGGGTATGCCCCGGGATAGAACACAGCGTGTCACTCTGGGACGCGATGATGAAAGGAGAAGAAAGATGGTTAGCGAGGCGCGCTCGCTGATTTATGAGCAGAACTATGCGGTTGGTAGCGCACCTGTAGAACGCATTCTTAAGCCACAGTCGTGGGTTCCCACCTCCGTAAGTCTTGAATTTCTATCACTGACAATGACTAACAATCTGTTAGAATGCATTTTCAGATCGCCTGAGTCGTTTGGGTTTCAATATCTTTCATGCGCTTGTAGTAGATCTACTACACGAGTTTGAAATCGGCGTTTGGAAGATGCTTTTTAAGCACTTGTTGCGCATCATATCGGCGCATGGCAAGAGCCTTATACATACATTAGACCAGAGGTAAGGTCCATCATTTTGCATTGCTCACCTCACCTTGACCACTTCCACCAGATATAGGCAAATTCCGACGTTTGGCCCAGCTACCATCCGAAAGTTCTCCGCGAACTCTTCCGAGATGAAACGAATGGCGGCCCGGAATTTCGAAGACCTCCTCCAGGTATGAGTTGATTATCAATGAAGTTCGTGGCCTGACGTCATCTAAACAAAGTGTTCGATCCCTGTATTTGATTGCCTTCTTCCAGAACCACACAACAGCACTGTTCTTCGGTTGTTATATACCATGGCTCATTGGCACGGGTTGGCTAAGCTCCGTATGCACTCGGACTTAACTTTAGAAATAATGGATGAAGTAACTACAGCGGTCGGCTATCAGTTTCGTCATTTCAAGGCCACCGTTTGTTCCGCCTACGAAACCCATGAACTTCCTCAGGAGGTCGAGGCTCGTACCCGACGTGGTGCAAAGCAGGCGGCCAAGCAACAGGGAGGACAGAAAGGGAAGCAACGAGCGGCCCTTGTGGAGCCAGAATCAGGAAAATCAGGCAAGAATATGAAGCGACTCAAGGTATTTAATTTTCAAACGTATAAGTTTCATGCCTTGGGAGACTATGTATCTACCATCCGCCGGTATGGCACGTCTGATTCGTACAGCACCGAACCGGTCAGTCCCATAATGTTCGACTCCGGATTTGACTCACCGACTTTATCTAGGGTGAACTTGAACACTGTTCTCCCAAGACCAGATACTGTCGTACCAATCGCAACACGTTCGTCAAACAACTCACTCGGATAGAACGTCGCCAGACTCGTATTCGTCGTATCGGGGACAGAATTGTTCCTCGCCCTCACCTCGAAATCGCAGAGATAGCGAGAAGCCCGCATGTCCATCACCATATCGGTCTCACGCAAAAATTCCCTGTACATATAGGATCGTACTTGCGTGATCATGCAGGTGATCCTGCAATCACCGTAAGTGTAATCATACATTTTCAAGTAACTTCTAATACCCCTGCAGAATTTTGTGCCGAAACTGAAGGATCATATATTGCACCGATTCAACCAATCCAGGGATCTTCCAGGTACTGGAGAAGAGACCGACATCAATTCCATTATTTTGAAGGACGATCGCATGTATCACCATAACACCGCTAGGTTCAATTATACGATGTACAATGTTCGCAGATCTCAAGATGTTATTAACCCCAGAACTCCCCATTGCAATATCATGGTTCTTCGCGCTGACGACAATGTTGGGCGCCAAGGTCACAGATACCTTTATGGAAAGGTACTTGGTATATACCACGTCAACGTGATCTTCATAGGAAACAGTATGGTTGACTACACTCCTCTCCGAACAGAGTTTTTATGGGTACGCTGGTACACTCCTATTGGTGATCTCGCCACCTGGAAAACTTCGATGCTGGATCGTCTCCGCTTTCCACGCATGGCAGACGACTTCTCATTCGACTTTCTTGATCCAGCGGATGTACTTCGGGGCTGTCATATTATACCATCATTCGCCGATGGTAAGAAACATCCCAATGGTTTGGGAGTTTCGGCATGTGCGGGCGACAAGGATGATTGGTGCCAATACTATGTTAATCGGTAAGTTAGGGCACCACTTCATAACACCGAGCTCATTATTTCAGGTTTGTCGACCGGGACATGCTCATGCGCTTCCACTTTGGTCTGGGAGTGGGTCATGTATACTCTCACCATCGCCCCACGCAGCCAGAGAATGCAGCGCATGCATCTTTTACCCCGGATGTTGAAGATTTCGAGCAAATAGATGAAATTGAGGATCAAGAGGACAGTGAAGATGATGAAGCAGATGACGGTACTCAGGATGGATTGGATGTTGAGCAATGGTTTAGTTCTAGCAATGAATCGTTGTTAGATCAGTTCGACGAGATGTACGACAGAGAGGTAGCCTTTGATTACGAGAACTAGGTTACTTGAATAAAGTCGACCGATAGCGCAAAGTCGACCGATAGCGCAAAGTCGATCGATAGTGCCCACTAGACTACTGGTGTAACCTTGCGGCGCGAGCACAGCTTATCGCCGCCTTGCATGTTATACTAAGATTGTATGGCATTATAACAGCGGTCAATCGTTCTAGGCGAGACGCGACAGCTTACATGTAATAACCATTGCATGGCAATGCATTTTAATCAAAATTTTACATCGTGCGTAATCGCATTTAAAGTGCCCGTTTTCTCTCTCTTGGAACCAATTCTGAGGACGATATGGCAGCTCCAATTTTCCATTCTTATTTTTTCCCGGACGATCTGTCTAGTCTTCAGCCTGTTTCAGTGCGTTTTTTGTGGCTTCTAATCTCAACGTTACTAACTCAGTCCTTCCAGGGCGACCTCACTCTCTTACAGAAACCTTTTTGTTTTACAGGATATCTAGCGGTTGGGCCTCAACCAGTCCTCTATGCGCTCTATGTAAGTATTATTTGTATTCCTTCAGAGTTTTTAGTGTCTCATCATGGGCTGCAGTGTTCAGACACCCGCCTCGAGGCTGTAGGTGGTTCATTTTGTGGGCGTCATATACTGATTTTTCTATAGCTCAAGTCGCATGTCAAAGTCATAGCTCATGTGTTGCCGATCAATCCTCACAATTCCCTATGGGAACCGTGCATGGAGGTACCTATATTCGCCAAGGTATTCAGTTGCTCTGGACTGCACTTCGCCTTCCCACTGATATGTCTTGTAGAATCTTTATTCGCCCGATGACCCGCCCATGAACGTGGACTTGAATGCCCTCTGGTCAAGGCCGAGCAACGATGGTACCCTTCTACACGTGTATACATGGGTAAGCTCACATTGCGATCTTAAAGTTATCTCGTTTAACAATGTTGAAGCCTTTGTCGGGCAATGAGCATAACACTGTTATCGTTGAAGCTCTATTTCCATTTGGACACCAACCCCGCCCTGAAGCTTATCTCGAGTTTGATAGTAATGCTCTCGCAGAAATGTCGAACATGCTGGAGTCGTATCACGGAGGTTCAGTTGTCCCAGATTCTTCCAGGGGCTCATCAATTGTTCCAGACTCTTCAGTGGCCTCATCGGTTGTGCCAGACTCTTCCAGGCTCTCGCCTATCACATGCAGTCACGATGATACCCAACCAAAGGACACTAACATCCAGGCTGACACGAATAGCTTGGGTGATATCCAGCGCAAGTATCCGCAATGGAAAACCGTTTTAGTTCGTTTGCGGATTCTCATGAGAGTCGCTATATCGTGCGGGGAGTACGGGAACCCGTTCTTACTCGCCCCAACAACTGGTGCAAGTCAGAAAGCTCTTTTCATCGCCGATCTCTTCAATCGAAGCCTGGCTGAAGTCGGAGAAACTCGCACAACCATGTGCCCCGGTCAGTAACTCGTTGATCTACTATGTTCCGTAGATACTGACTCTTTTCTAGTGAGGTCGGCTGATGATGCGTTTGAAGTGACAGAAGAAGCTATATTGGCGATGGTATGTTTTCTCCGTCGTTTCTATTTACTTGTCTGACCTTGAATAGGCCAGTAAATGAGTGTCGACATTGATTTCCGACATCAAACGTTTAGCAAAAATCGCAATCTCAGATCCTCGACCGTCCCTAGGCTTTGCCCTCGCAGAACTGTGCCCCCGGGCACTACTCATTGAGAGATGCGTGGCCCTGCTGCAACACTTCCTGCGTCCAGATTCGGGTCGTTTGCCAATTGCGGTCAGTCTTTCGAGTTAACTTTGGTTGTCAGGATCTTACTTCTTTACCATGCAGGACAATGGCCTTGCATGGTTTATCAGGAAGGAGATCGCGAAATCTCTCGTTTTTCATCTCGTATTCCGGCGTAGCGTATCGGCCTACATACTGATAGTAATGGCTGATTTTGCGCCGGACATCTTCAGGAACGTTCCACACCCGCCCGCAGAGACATTAGCGTTTGTGGGGGCCTCCGTAAGTTCTACTCTACGAGCTTTCGTTCATCTAAGCAATCCTATTGCATTAGTGTTATAGCGCCATTATCCAATGGTTAGCGGATATTTTAAAGATGATGTCAGACCAGGGGGAGTTCCCAGCTATCGACCTATCAGTATATCCGCCGGTCAGCGATATATATGACGAACTCCTTCAGGCGGTTGCTCTCCTATTGGCACAGAAAGACGACCCAGAACACCCGGCATTCGTGAACCGCTTGGCGAGCTTTTGTAACATCCTGTGAGTTTACATAAGTTCATCTTTATACTAACAGCTAATGGGGAATGCGTCGCAGTGACAACAATGTCTATCGGATTTCTCGTAAATAATCCTTCCAAGGACAATTGTCTTCCATATTTTGTCCGCTTGGTCTGTTTGGAAATGTACAGCGCTCTGCTGTGTTGTGAACTTTCCTGCGATATCTTAAGAATAAGATCCCAAAGACCACCACCATCACATGACTAAGTCAGACCGAGGAACATAGTACGCGCTATAAGTATCAAAGTCTCTTGTAACATATTGAGTCGCTTACGAACGTTGCACAGGTTTTTTCTGACTTCCAAACAAGGAATTGTGAGGTATGATGACGTTGTTCGTCGGCGCAAATGATTTTCATCTCTAAATATTTTTTTATAGACCGCTACAGTTGCACAGCCACCGCTGACCAAAGCCGTTGATCGGCTTGCAGACCGCTATCCCATAGCCGCTGCCAAACCTTCTTGTATGTAAGGCCTCAACAATTGTATGGACCTCTCTTTAACCCTTTCTTACCACTCCACTTCAGCATGTTAAATAGTAGTTCATTGTGTCCTCCTCCCCTCACCACTCCTTCGACAAAACACATTCTTGAGATCGAACACACCGAGAATGCCCTCAAGTCTTGGCTCCAGAAACGGGGACGCGAAATTGTTAGTGGGTTTCCATATTTTTGTGATGGTATCCTACGACATCAACATCAGCTTCCAGATTCCCTCTTCGTCACGGTTTCCGTGCTATTTGCATGGGTCGACCCCCTTGACCTCATAGCTGTCCTACAAGTGAGCCTCAGAGTGGTTGCAATGGAAGAACTCTTCCAGCAAGAAGAGCTCACTTGCGTTTCATTCCTTCTGCAAGGAGGGCGATGCTACATGGAGGAGAGGATGTATCGTGCTCAGATGGAAGTCACTTTGTTCAACAAAGCTATTGCGAACTTGTGCGAAGAGTTTAATACGAAATGTCGCCCATGTAAGCCATACTGTTCGAGAAATGACACTTGAATCACAATTTCTTCCTAGCTCCAGCACCCCTGCCAAAGTACACTAGCACTATAAGTGCATGCCAAACACCTCGCTCGGACGAATTTGAAGGCTTTCGGCTTCCAACTGCTGCGCATCTCAAATGCCAGCAATGGCTTTCCACGTCATCGGAATTTCTAGTGGATTTCCCACAAATTCAAGAAATTCCCCAGCTTTACGAAAACGTCTTAAGGGTGAGCGCTATTCATATTACCAGACTCTGCATTCTCATACTATGCAGCCCAATGATCGATTTCTTTCGCTTCCTTTCTTGATGAAGTCTTGGGTTGATAACGTCACATATCGCGCCTACATCAGCACATCCTCTGCCGACTGTGCAGACACCAAGCTCCTAGGTATTGGCATTGGCGATAGCCTTAAAGCAAAGAATGAAAAAACCCCGGACGTCCTAAAATCTGATTTCCACATCTTAGAGTTGAAGAAACATCGCGCACAAGCCGAAGTGGAGATGTTTTCTGAAGCCATATCACGCACTACGGGGCCCCGGTTGACTGAGAATGGTGAGCTTGCAGCTTTCCTTGAAGTTTCGTACTAAGATAAATGTAGGCATGTGCTCATCTCATGGCTCTGATGGGACATATGAATCATGTCTACCTGACAATTCTTTTGATGATTGGTTTGATGGTTGGTTTGATGGGTTTTCGACGTCATCTGGATCTTCCAATGCCTCTGCGCTCTATTGAAGCTCTCCTGTAGTTGCAGATCGCCCACTTGAAGTGAATTGTTGTAATGGTATTTGTACATGGACTTGATCTACGCTATCTGTACTGCCTCTGCCGCCATTTTTATCTATTCAATTACCGATTAGCATGTGCTTGGTGTCCGTGCTTCTGACAAGTTTTTGTATCATTCCGAAACATAATTTTATGATGATCCTGGAGCGGGGTTCTCGCATGTCGAGGCGCAAACGCTGGGCCCGTTGTATCTGTCTACGCCTACGTCTATATACTCTACCTCGGAATAGCATCGCTCTATTTCGGATACCAAGCTGCAGCCCGCCCCCCCTATTTCAATACCAGAATACATTCCCCGGTATAGAAAGCAGCTCCTCGATGTCATTTGTGCTCGCGCACAATATGAAGCTAAGTCTATCGTACTCTCTGCCTTCAATCCTTCTCATGCAGTCACTCTGGTTGGGATTGTAACTTAGATACTCTCCGACCCCTTGTGGAATCCATCAAATAGGGATTCTAAAGATGGTACTAGTGTCGTTGTCACATCGTATTTCTCAACTGTGAGTCCCTCATAGCTCTTTTTGTCAAAACCTTCTTTCTTATGAAATGAAAGTGCGCTCGTTGCCCCAACAATAACTTATGTTGTGCAACAAATCGACTCGTGCCACCGCACGTGGTTGCGACGCAATCGAACATACTGGTACAATCTTCGAGCATATAGGACGGTCTGTATTAGATCTACATGGTCAATGTTCAAGCTGACCAAGGTTTCTTTCAGTGGGGCTGCAACTTCTCGACTGGTTTGTCAAATAAGGTGAAGATCATGTTGATGCCTTGATCACACTGACGAATTCAATATCAGAAACTTATCCTGTGCAGGTCGAGGGTCATTCCTTGGGAGATGTGTCTTAATATTGCCATCTACGGAGGGTTCTTCTGCACCATCATTGAACCTACTTGCAGTCACTGCCTGTACGCTCATATAATTTCTTTGTTCAAATAACTAACTTATCATCACCTGCAGAGTATATGTGAACGACATTATCAATAGTCGCTTGAAAGCACATTTCCTTCCCCAGCTTATTGAAGGTGATGCAATATATTGAAAGTTGTATCTATATTGAAACTATGAACAGTATCTCGAGCCAGTATGCGTGTGGATGTGTCTTCGATGTAAGGTATATATCTTTGTTAACTTCTCAATACTTTGTGATATGCTTTCCTAGATTGTTACACGATATTTCCCATGGGGAACCACTCTCTGTCGGATGTACCAGGTTCGTCACTCTTATAAGGTTTATTTCAGGTTCTTCCTCTCACTCTTTGCAAACGAGCAAAGTTGATTTCCTCTTAGGGCATTCAACTCTTGGGGGAGACGTAGCTCATTCCAAGCTCGTGGCCTCGCGATATCACAGAGTTCTCACTGACCACTGATGGCCTCGGCAAAAGTATGATTGACGAGTACCTTACTGAAGGGTGAGTACTTCCAATACATCATCATCCATAAAAGCTTCTTCGGAAACCCAAAATGAAGAATTTGTGACCTGACCCCAATTATTTGCTCGATTTAGATATGTGACCCCCTTCGTTGAACACGCAGCCCTCACGGTACGACAGCTCCTGGTCATCACTTTCCTATAGCTATAGGTAATCTGTTCGCTAACTCTCTTAAATCCACTGACCGTGGTCGCTCACTTATCCAGAACTCGACGGTCCATAATGGCTGTGTTTCCATTTTCTTGCGTTGGCCGATCTATGAGGGGCATATTGCTTCCCACAGCAGCTGTCATTGGCTTCTCATGCCTCCTGACATACTTCTTTGTATTATACCAGCCCATCGTCGGACCCGGCATTGTCCAGCGTCTAGGCTGGCAAGCTTGGGATGCGGTCGCCACAGTTGACTACTTCGATAAGGAACCTTCTAAGCCAACAGTCACTGGCAACCCAGCGGATGGCCAACCAATTCCAGTCAACGATGATGAGACAGATTGGTGGGAAACCACAAAAAATCAGTCCTGGGGTACTACCGATGATATAGAGAGTTATCCCCTTGACGTATGGGCTCCCTTGTTATCTCACGATACCGGTCGTATGTATGCTCGCCAATTTTGTCAGGGACTTATTTCAATTTCATATTTACAGTGTCTGAAATTGCTATCATGCGTTGTATGATGTCACCAAGCCTTGTCGAAAACCTCTGTGCACCCACGATAACCGTCGAGCAGGATGCCATCAAGGGTAACTGGGTTCGAGTGGACCGGGATCTCAACAAGCAAGCTGGTCTCTGGAATTTGGTACGCACGCACCACTATTTTATGTTACGTATTCCATGACTCACCACATTCACCTTAGAACATCTACTACAGACGGACGCGCCGTCTTGACATACCTCTCATTACCGACTTGCGCCTCCTTCCTGCCAATGAAATTCCTGAACCTCTATCAGATTCCTGGGTAAAAGTAGATCTCTCCATACGCTATGGTGTTATGCGTGCGGAACCAATGTACCTCTGGTACCTCCTGGGCAAAACGATGAATGAAATGAATGCGGAAGAGAAATCCAGTCTCATTACCGAAGTCGACATACTCTTTGGAGAGGATAGGCCTTGGTACGGATTTGAGAAAATAGAGCCTGCCGTAACTCCGGAAAAGGAAGGGCAACTAGAGAGCGTGTATGTGACATACCGCCGCGGCGCGCAATGTGAGCATGAACAGCCTTTATGCCGATAGTGTACTGAATTTGGTCTGCAGCGGTCCCTCAAGCCCATCCTTTACACTTCTCGCGGGACGGAAAATTCAAGATTTTGCAAGTTGCAGACCTGCATTTTTCTGTTTCCAGGGGCATCTGTCGGGAAACCAATATTGATCCCTGCGTCAACTCCGATAATCTCACCAATACGCTCCTCGGACACGTTATGGACGAAGAAAAGCCAGATCTTGTCGTCTTCTCCGGCGACCAACTCAACGGGCAGGGCACGTCTTGGGATCCTAAATCTGTTTTAGCAAAGTTTGCAGTCACAGCTATCTTCGGCAATCATGACGAAGAGAACGGCGATGTGAAGCAGGAGCAAGTACGTATGATGAATGCCCTTCCGTATTCTTTGGTGCAGAGGGGTCCAAAAGACATTCATGGTGTTGGAAATTACGTTCTAGACGTGAAGAGTGCTGATGCGTGAGTGTTTCCATTTGAGGATAGCAGAGTGCAAGCTGAGCTCGTTTGGTAGCTCCAAGACATCGCTGCTGACGCTGTACTTCCTGGACTCTGGATCCTACTCGAGCGGTTACTTGGACTGGCTCGGGTACTTCTTCCCAACGGAGTACGACTGGATACATGAGGTCGGTGTCCCTTGATATAATTGTGATCGTTATGTCAATTGCGCTCATATTTCCAAGGACCAAATCAACTGGTTTTTGCAAGAATCTTCCAAGATCCAGGCTATACAGCGTCCGTTCACACCAGACACTGGCAAGGACTTTGGTTCCATATGGAACAGACAGGCCGATCAGATCACGCCCACGACGCACAAATTAGCCAAGCCTAATGCTATGATGTTCTTCCACATTCCTCTGTTGGTTCATTCTCACGCCGTTTCTGTCACATTTAAGTTTATCTTTTTCCAGGCAAGAGTCGTACGGTACAGCGGACAGGGACCCACGTACTGGCCAAGTGTTAGACATCGGTCTGCACGATCTGGAAGGATTCGGTGCTGCGAAGAAGAGTGATGGAATGTTTGACAAGGGTTTGAAGAAAGCACTGGAGAGTGGGCACGTTGCAAGTGGAGACATACCCGAAGTGAAGGTGGTCGCAAATGGACACTGCCTAACGATTCTCACTGTACTGCAAAGATGAACACAATGTTGCTATCATGCATGCTTTTGTCGACTTTCTAGATTTCAGCTGGACGCTGTATGTTTTTGCAGGCATTCCGCCTTCCTGGAGAAGCTCAGATGATCGATCGCTTCATGCTCAAGTGCGCGGAATGATACATCGCCGGAAACGCTTGCAGGTTTGTGGACATCTGCCTAATTTGTTCGGATTACTTACCTGCCTTTGAATAGATGCTGCCTTTATTCTCGGGTATTCTATCATTATGCTCAATACCGATGCTCATAGTCTCAGATTAAAAATCGCACGACTAAGGCTGACTTCATCAAGGATTACCGTGCTATCAACGATGGAGAGTCTTCCGGATAGATTCTCGTCACATCTAGGGCAACGGATTAGGATGAAAGACGAAGTGTAGATGTCACAATCAACTTGCCCTCGACAGGTCCTGGTCTTACTAATGTGTTGACGAATGCGGGGAGGGACCAGGCATGTGTGATGCAGTCCAATGACATGGCCAACAATACTAAAGTAAGTTGCTAGTCTTACAATTGAACGCTGATTGATATCTTGTAGTCACTATTCAAAACGCTCATGCGTCCTCAACGAAGATGATCTCGTACTGGAGACCAACACTTCAGTGCGTCACGCTTCATCCATGTTAGGCTGATGTTTGAGGTGGCACGGATACTCTTCTTGGCTGGATTGTTTAGCCCACTTCAAACTACGGATGGCCTTGAGATAGCTGATCTCTGCTTGTACGGATTCAAGAATGCCATCCGCATAGTTTACTCCTTCGATTCGGACCTCGAACGCAATGCGCTCGTTAGTACCCTTGCGAAGTTCACGTTCATCAACACTCTTTGCTGAACCCACTTCCTCAGGGACGTGTTCTTGCGGGAGCTCATTTCAAACGCCAATAATACACTCGATAAGCTTCGGTTCGCCGTGGTCACAGAGAAGAGTGTGTGGGATGGTGTCATGACGTGAAAGAGCTTGCTAGTGCGTTGTTGGAGTCGTCGATGGGCACGGGAATGATAGGTGGATGAAGGGAATGACTGAGAAGCATGGATCCTATTCAGAGACAGTACGAGTCCGCGGTAATCTGAGTAGCTTGGTCGTCCTGCAGTGTTTTGAAAGGCTAACAATTATAAAAACGCAAAGGAAAATCTATGTTGGGCATCAATAGATGTCGAGCATGGGATACCTAGGCGTACAGTACCATGGAAGATAGTTTGAAAGTAATGATTCTCGTTGACGGTTAGCGTTTATTCTAGCGGGACCAGCTTCAATGTAAAACTAATACGATATCGACCAATTTAGGAACTTCTTAGCGCCACGCAACTATATCCAGCGGATCCTGGAATCTGGTTTCTCCCGCCTCGTTCGATAAAAACATACTGATGCAACATCTTCTCTCCATCGCTCTATTACCCCCCTCAGGCTCATTCAAATTCTTTCCTCAAGCGATCTCACCTGCCGCTTCCTTACTTATGAAAAATATCTTTGCGACTACTTACCGGAGTTCTCGAAATGCTGCGTGCCCCAAGACACGGCCATCACCTTCAGATATATTTCAATATCACAAGACGTCCCCTCTCGGTTCCCCTCCTGTAACCCGCCGCACTCCTTATTCTACGAAGGCAATACTATTCCAACAGCAACAACGAAGATGTACTAACCACGACTTGGATGTGTCTCATAGCGGTGCATTTACTACATTATGCTATAGAAAAGCTTCCCTTCCTCACACAGGACCATGCAACAGTGTCATCCGTCCCGGCCATCAGTTTCTTCGTTTCTTTGCTAGCAAAGTCTACCTCATCAGGCGCATGGGATTTCGACGCGTCTTTAAGCGTACTACACAGAACGAAGCGAACGGCTTGGTACTCGCAGGTTGAGGCGAATATTGGGGACTCCCAGGTAAGTACATAGTATATGACATACTCTGCAGGCAGTTCAACGGTTGACGATCCAATAGACATATTCGTTCTATTCTTTGGACGACAACAACTTCGGGAAACTCAAAAATCCCACCATGCTTCCAATTTCGCAGCACCACTATGTCCCTGCACGTACTATACGCGAGATACATCGATCGCGCTCCTTCGGGAAAGGACCAAGGAAAGACGACCAGGCTAAAACCGAGTATGCGCTTGCTTTTGAACAGGACAACGTAAAATTATCTTCGTCTACTTAAACGGACCTGGTGTTTACTACTGTCTTACAGGTACTATTTGCGCAAGCGAGAGCATCTCTTGCCACTCTTAATGCGAAGTTACTGAATGTGCAGAAGTTTTTCTTTGGTGACCGGTAAGCAAGACCAGCATGAACACTTTGCCTTTTGCGTTATCTGAGCCCGTTATCAGGCCCATGACTCTTAATGTTTACATAGCTTCGCATGTTCTCCTGTTGCTTAATCCGCCTTTCCCGGACCAACTCACGCGAAGCATTCTCATGCCAATACGACCCCTGCGCAACCCTCCCAAAACGATGAAGAGCCGAATGGATGAAGCTGACCTTTGATTTCGACGATGGATATGGTTTAAGTTTGCGCTTGCTTTTGGTGGCGTGGCGTGCTGTGTCGCTCAACTCTGTATCAAGGAACCGATGGATTGGCAGACACGGTCAGTGTTTAACTTAGATTGTATATTCTCGACTTTGATCAATGTTCTATAGCTCGGCCATCTTCATATTTGTTTCAAGTATGTGCGCGGGTGGTGTCAGACTCGGAATCAACCAGACCGCAGGAGACACTGTCGATCACGATCGGAACCCATCAAACAATGCGCAGGCCACGTACTATCAGAGTCGCGCTCATTGCCTCGGTCAGACGCGCCAAGTGACTGTCTATCGGCGCTTAATCACGAGGGGCACCATCGACGAGCGTATCATTCAGTTAGAGCATGTCAAGAAATAATTTGACTTAAGCTCGCTACGCTAGTAAAATTTGACCTAAGCTCTCTAATTTTTCAAAACTTGTACATAAATAGCGCAAAGTCACAAAAGTATGCCAGGGATTAGCGCGGGTAATTGTATCAAGAGCTCTACCTATCTTCGAACAGCTTTTGACGAGTTGCACGCGTATGCATTCAAACTAAACGAAAAACATGTACTAGTGACTACAAATTAAATAATACCAACTGGCCCAAGACTTGACAGTGCTGCGTCATAGGCACGATATAGCGAGCAACAAATTACAAGTTCAACATTTGCGTGTATTTGTTTTTGTTTGACTCACGTGACTTTTAGTTTCAACATTCGAACGTTCAACATTGAACACGTCATCCTTCCCTCTTCTACCACATCCTTCCTTCTTCTATGTTGCCCACCGTTCGCAGTTCGTGAGTATGTCGATCTTCGTTCGAGCGACGGCCATGCTGATCCAAGTCTTTGCCCACCGTTCGTAGTTCGTGAGTGTGCCGATCTTCGTTCGAGCGACGGCCATGCTGATCCAAGTCTTTGCCCACCGTTCGTAGTTCGTGAGTGTGCCGATCTTCGTTCGAGCGACGGCCATGCTGATCCAAGTCTTTGCCCACCGTTCGCAGTTTGTGAGTGTGTCGATCTTCGTTCGAGCGACGGCCATGCTGATCCAAGTCTTTGCCCACCGTTCGCAGTTTGTGAGTGTGTCGATCTTCGTTCGAGCAACAGCCATGCTGATCCAAGTCTTTGCCCACCGTTCGTAGTTTGTGAGTGTGTCGATCCTCGTTCGAGCGACGGCCACGCTGATCCAACGCTGCCCAGCGTGCAGATCCCTAAGTTGCGTTCGACCATCGAGCAGCGCCGAGTCAGACTGCTGAGGCCGATTCTAGTCATCATATTGTTTTATAGTAACACCGCGCTCATTCCTTACATCTTACACTTCACTGTACTCGTCCTGATACCCAGTTCCAAGTGAAACCTAATTGATCTGAACATTGTGTGATATTAAGCCTCAAAAAACATGTCCAGTGCAGCTAGGATGCTCATAACTTTCAATAGGATGCTACAAAACTATCAATAATTAGCTCTAGGATCGTAAATGTGACTGTCCGTTACTATTCGTGACATGAGTGTGACTCACGAAATAGAGGCCCGTCACGAATAGAACCGTAATGGATAGTATCTGTTATGGAACCATGATCAGCGTGAGAAATGTTAGATATGTAAGAAGGTTTGCTGCAGGCACAGATCAGTTACAATGCATAGAGTTCAACTGTCAGTCCGCCTTCAAGAGTAAATCAAAATCAAATCTACCTCACACTATATCAAAATGAGATGGCATTAGTATAGATATATATTCATGCATATGTTACATACAAGATGCACATCAAAATGATATTCTTTCATACACATGTTGCACAAATATAATATCATGGGATTCTAATCTAGAGATTAGATATGTCATAATGAGTTTTATTGGTCAGCTCTACCTGGTCATATCTATGTGTGACATTATGTCAATAATATTCAAGGCTGGTATCACACTGCTGTCTGCTTGCAAAACACGCATCAAGCGATGATCTTCTGGCATGTTCTTGTCATATGTTGGATATGTGCATCACTACGACAATAATATCCAAGGCTGGCATCGCACTGCTGTCTGCTTGCAAAACACGCATCAAGGCGATGATCTTCTGGCATAGTCATATCATATGTTGGATATGTGCTTCACTATGACAATAATATCCAAGGCTGGTATCGCACTGCTGTCTGCTTGCAAAACATGCATCAAGGCGATGATTTTCTGGCATAGTCATATCATATGTTGGATATGTGCTTCACTACGACAATAATATTCAAGGCTGGTATCGCACTGCTGTCTGCTTGCAAAACACGCATCAAGGCGATGCTTTTCTGGCATAGTCATATCATATGTTGGATATGTGCTTCACTATGACAATAATATTCAAGGCTGGTATCGCACTGCTGTCTGCTTGCAAAACACGCATCAAGGCGATGATTTTCTGGCATAGTCATATCTATGTGCTTCACTACGACAATAATATCCAAGGCTGGTATCGCACTGCTGTCTGCTTGCAAAACATGCATCAAGGCGATGATTTTCTGGCATAGTCATATCATATGTTGGATATGTGCTTCACTACGAGAATAATATCCAAGGCTGGTATCGCACTGCTGTCTGCTTGCAAAACACGCATCAAGGCGATGCTTTTCTGGCATAGTCATATCTATGTGCTTCACTATGACAATAATATCCAAGGCTGGTATCGCACTGCTGTCTGCTTGCAAAACATGCATCAAGGCGATGATTTTCTGGCATAGTCATATCATATGTTGGATATGTGCTTCACTACGACAATAATATTCAAGGCTGGTATCGCACTGCTGTCTGCTTGCAAAACACGCATCAAGGCGATGCTTTTCTGGCATAGTCATATCATATGTTGGATATGTGCTTCACTACGACAATAATATTCAAGGCTGGTATCGCACTGCTGTCTGCTTGCAAAACACGCATCAAGGCGATGATTTTCTGGCATAGTCATATCATATGTTGGATATGTGCTTCACTACGAGAATAATATCCAAGGCTGGTATCGCACTGCTGTCTGCTTGCAAAACACGCATCAAGGCGATGATTTTCTGGCATAGTCATATCATATGTTGGATATGTGCATCACTACGACAATAATATCCAAGGCTGGTATCGCACTGCTGTCTGCTTGCAAAACATGCATCAAGGCGATGATTTTCTGGCATAGTCATATCATATGTTGGATATGTGCTTCACTACGAGAATAATATCCAAGGCTGGTATCGCACTGCTGTCTACTTGCAAAACACGCATCAAGGCGATGATTTTCTGGCATAGTCATATCATATGTTGGATATGTGCTTCACTACGACAATAATATCCAAGGCTGGTATCACACTGCTGTCTGCTTGCAAAACATGCATCAAGGCGATGCTTTTCTGGCATAGTCTTATCATATGTTAGATATGTGTGACACCATGATAATAATATCTAAGGCTAAAACATGGTGTATAATAATGTTGTTTGATTACCAATTATATCTGGTCATATCAATTTAGGGTCGATTCCCTGATGTATTAGGCTTGCTTGTGTTTAACCTCAACACCAGCATTAAATACTGCCCCAAATCATCTATGACCTCTACCTATCTGCTTATCCATAGTGGGGGGCAGGTACTCCTGCGTATGTAATCTGTCTGCCCCCGTCATAGTACCTATTATAGCTAACTATGTGCCCTAGTATTCACACGCACCTTACCCTTTCCCCTCACTGTCGTCTATGCCGACCGCAGCGTTGCCTGCCCTCCCTTTGCTCAGACCACCACACCCTCTCTCCAGGGTGACTCAAGCTCGCTGTCGTCATCATTGGAGCAATCTTTGCGCTGCTTCTCTTGTCCCAGACCAAGCGCTGCCTTATCACATTGACTGCCAGCTTCCCCTCACCATCCTTCTGTCGTCAATGCTTGTTGGAGCAATCTTTGCGCTGCTTCTCCCATCCCAGACCAAGCGCTGCCTTATCACATCGACTGCCAGCTTCCCCTCACCATCATCTACGCCTACCGCAGCCATTGCCTGTCCTCCCTTTCCTTGGACCACCACAACCTCTCTCCAGGGCGACTCAAGCTCACTGTCATCTTCATTGGAGCAATCTTTGCGCTGCCTCCCTATACCATCAACACCTTTGATCGCCAGCCCACTGTTGATGTGGCTTATCATTGCTTCCCCCACATTATCAACACGTCTGCCAGGTACATTGCTAACATTTTACTTTGTGTCAGTCTCAATCGTTGGCAACAGCTGCCTGTTTTCCCTACCCTACTGGTGCCTTAGCTGGAGGCTGACATGACTATGTAATCACTTGCGCATGCGTCCCATCCCCATTTCCCGGTCCTTGTTATCTCACACACAGTACCTCTCCTTGTCGTATTTAGCCGAATGACAATTTTTGGTCAAAACATAATGCTGTACGAAATGAATTAAGTATCCTAGGAAACAAACAACTAGATAGTGCCATTGATCTAGAACGAACAACATATTCATGTGAGTTAAGGTAGCATCAAAACATGGCGAGTTAAATCCTGCAGCATATGTACGAAGTGATACTGCCATCGCGGAAGCAAACAAACTGACAGAGTTTGACATTAATGAGCTTCCGGATTGAGGCACGCATGTCAGAGACGAGCTGCTGATGATTCTTCCCAGCACCTGTAATAAAATAATGTTAGATTAGAGGTGAGAGTGTCGACAAAAACAAATTGACCTTTGATCCCTTGGATCGCAAATCCTTCCATCTTGCTCACAAAATCCTGGTTGTCGATTCCCATCGCCGAATCCATGAAATTTTCAACTCCCTCAGTGGCGAAGGTAACTCCTCGTAAAGGAAGATCCGTCGAGCCGCACTGTAGAGAATCATGCCTCTCATGGTGTGATATGGTAGTTTTCACTAGGGAGTACATGGCACAAACTTATAGCATCACTCTGTGTACTATCCACAGTGATTCCTATATGACGCGCAGCTTTCCTGCGCAACGCGCGCCATTCCCGCGCTTCGCGATGTATGCACACATGCGTGTTCCTGCGCTTGAGCGCCCTATAGCGCCAGCCATCCAGAAGCATCCATCCACTGTCCACCAAGCCCTCTAGTGCGTATATTTCCATTTCTTTTATTAGCATATCATTCCACCTCTATTTTTATAATGGACCCTTACTTATATATATCTTTACATACCTACTCGGTAGCGCTTCGGCTCTGCATGACCGTGCTTAGGCGCGCTATATAAGCGCCAGCAGTACATCCTACGAGAGGGAGTTTTCCACTTACTTTTCACTTACTTTCCCTTTAACTTACTAGTTACCACCCACCATTTTACTTAGCAGAACATAGTAGAAGTCTATTTATCTACACTTTGCATCTCTCTTCTCTTATATTGCATCATATTAGCACTTGAGTCTAACTTCTCTATTATTTCTGCATACGCGCGCGCGCTTTCCTGCGCTTCGCGCTGTAGAAACAACAATACAACGAGGAACAAAAGAGGCTCCTAGCTGTATCTATAAATGTTGTGAGGTCGCGCGTTGCCTAGTCTGCTATTCTTGAGACGACAAGTGCGTTCGACCCTAGGGGAAGCAAGTGCAGCAAGGATCTAGAAGTGTGCGCTGAAGCGAAGCACGAGAAAGTGCAGGTGCGCGCAAGGCACGAAGGCGCGGGAACGCGCGCGCGTATGCAGAAATAATAGAGAAGTTTGACTCAAGTGCTAATATGATGCAATATAAGAGAAGAGAGATGCAAAGTGTAGACAAATAGACTTCTACTATGTTCTGCTAAGTAAAATGGTGGGTGGTAACTAGTAAGTTAAAGGGAAAGTAAGTGAAAAGTAAGTGGAAAACTCCCTCTCGTAGGATGTACTGCTGGCGCTTATATAGCGCGCCTAAGCACGGTCATGCAGAGCCGAAGCGCTACCGAGTAGGTATGTAAAGATATATATAAGTAAGGGTCCATTATAAAAATAGAGGTGGAATGATATGCTAATAAAAGAAATGGAAATATACGCACTAGAGGGCTTGGTGGACAGTGGATAGATGCTTCTGGATGGCTGGCGCTATAGGGCGCTCAAGCGCGGGAACGCGCGCGCACGTATACATCGCGAAGCGCGGGAATGGTGCGCGTTGCACAGGAAAGCTGCGCCTTGTATAGGGATAGCTGTGGGTAGCGCACAGAGTGACACTACAAGTTCGTGCTATGCACTCCTTGGTGGAAACTGCCATGTCACACCATGAGAGGCATGAGTCTCTACATCTCCCAGGGACTTTAAATTCTGAGTGTCCCCACTCAGCGCGCGTGTGGTGAGGATGTCGAGTGATAGTATGCGCATGCGATGCATGTACAATGCTTGGGTTGTTGGGCGATGAATGCACGAGTGCAGGAATTATTGCGCGAGGTGCAAAGCGCGGGAAGGCGCAGGTGCGCGCGAGGTGCGAAGGCGTGGGAATGCGCGCGCATGCACAAGGCGTGAGAATGCAGCATAGCATGGTGAATTGCGAGGGTGACTTCTGGTGTGAATAGTGTTCCATGGGTGTGAGGTGATGATGCAAGGGTGATATGGATGTGGCGCGCTGACCTGCACCAAACTGGTTCGGTGCATGGATGACTAATACTCTCCTATGAGCCCTATGCCCTATGAAATCATTTTTCCTGTGATCTGAAGTCAGACTAAGGCTAAGGGAATATTTTTCGCTTTTTTTCATTTTACAAGATTATACACGAGTGGACTGAATATTTTTGTACATTTAATTTTGCAATGAGTTTTGCTTAGTCAGCCATGAGGATGACTCAGAAAGATTCTCACACATATCAGGTGACTATGAAAAATATGTTTGCGTAAGGTTACCCTGTGGGAAAGCTTACAAATCCTTAAATATGCATCTTATGTCATTATGCTACCAATCAATTCATCAGCCACAGATTGCACAAACATATGTACACAATATGTAATCACTTTCTCACTCCTTGTCTAGCTGAGTCATCAAGGGACACCTGACCCATGGGCTATACACAGCTCTTGCTGACTCATCATTATACCAATGAGAGTTATGAATATTTACTTTTTGACTCAAAGATATCGTGTGACTTGGTACTATCACAGTAAAGTTACAACTTTAAGTACGAGAAACTAGTAGTATAGCCACCAATTTGTCTATATAAGGAGCTGTTTCTTGCCCAATAAATGCATGCCCAAGTGCCACTTTTACCCTCTCAGAATAAAATTGTGAGTGAAGTGTGAATCAGCATTCAGCAAGTGTGGTTCAAGGTTGGAGCTCACTGTGCTCAACAACCAGCACAACATATCTGAGCTCACTGTGTTGAACATCTAGCACATACCTTGAGCTCACTGTGTCTGACAACTAGCAAGACTAGTGTTCTTTTTTTTATTTGTGTTTTTCTCTTTTTGTTTTATTCTGTGTCTGTGTCTGTGTCTGTGTCTCTCTGAGATTGTTTCTGAGATTGTTTTTCTCTGTCTCTCTGGAAACGTGTCTGAGATTTGTGACTGTGAAACTAACATCTCTGTTTCTCTGTTTCACTCTCTCTGTCTCTCAAGTTTGAGTGTGGTGTGTTGGTGACTGTGTGTGCTGACCATCTCTTTTGATCGCTGTCTCTGTGTGTTGTGATCGTTGTTGCTAACAGTCTCTGTGAACGTGACTGTGTTGGTGTTTCTGTTGTAGCAGTCTGATTGTGTTGTTGTTCCTTCCTATCAACTTTCTCTCAAGTATCAAAGTTTCAGTCTCATTCTTACCCAGAAGTTTGGTGTTGTCTCTTTTGTCCACTGAAGACTTAGGATAGTCTTGTGGGGAGACTTTAGGTGTTGACAGTGAATCGCTGACCTCAGACATCTGCGTGTTATACTGGGCCAAAGTAGTCATTTGCGAGTTAGGCTTTAGCTATTGAAAAGGGGACTTGGTATTAAAGTCCAAGGCCGCCCGTTCCTGAGTCTGTTTGAATACTCATTGTGAGTTCCTTGGCAGCAGGTTCAATATTAGGCTAAGAGTGCTACGGTAGCTCTGACTAGGTCTGACAAGTAGTCTCACCTGTTTTGTTCTTGAGGGGGATTATCATTGTAACTCCACACAACTTGCTGCACTAAGTTTGTGTACAAATCATTGTTGCTGTGTGAAGTGTTAGGAGGAGTGTCTGTTTGTATTGTGTCATCTCTATACTGTTAGAGTGACTGTGTCTCTTGATATTTTTGCTGTTGTTTGGTTGTTGTTGTTGTTGATCGCTGACCAATGGGGTTCTGTTTCTGTTATCATTGTGCTTCATACCCATACTGTTGGATTGACTGTTGACTGTTGATTGTTGACTGCTGACTGTTGTGCAGAACTATACATTGCTGACTGTACCTTAGGAGCAAAGACAAGCCACCCACGAACGACCACATTATCAGTTATTGGTATTTGTCTGAATTGCTGACCGTGGAGATATTTGGTTTTATAGGTGTTTATCTATAGATCATATATCTAAGAAGACAGCGCGAAGCGTGAGTGAGACACGCATGTACAGCGTGAAGCGCGGGAAAGCGCGCGCGCACAAGGCGCGAGAAAGTGCATGAGTGTCGCGTGTGTTGTATTGTGCATATGATGCGAATTGGCATGGTCCAAGAGCGATCCAATCCATGTCCAGACCAAGTCCTGCTAGGCGCGCTAAATATTAGGTGGTAAGGTTTGAACAATGTGAGTAAAACTATATGTGAAAATGCGAAGGAAAAAACAGTAACTTTGCGGATGTCCTATCCGACTTGTCTTCTTCATGCGGCTGTCAACATCTACACCTTCCTATGAGCAAGGCACGGGAAGCGCGCACGCGCGCGTGTGAGGTGCATGGGCGCGGGAATATTGCGCGCATTCTAAGGTAAAAAGAGCATGGTGCCGCGTCATGCGTGCGAAGAGAAAATAATACTATTGAGCTAGGCGGGCACAATCTAAGGTTGTTTTGTTGTTTTTCTTCTATGTTCTTCTAGGTGCTTCCTATATGCATATATATCAGTGTGTTATTAGTCCTTTGGACAGCATTATAATGAGAGAAAATGAAAATGAAAGAGCGCTGGACGAAACCCAGGGTAAAACAAACAGTATCCTATGAAACGGTGTTGGTATATGCTTTTCTTTGGCGCACTGCTGAAGTGCTCGATCCTCCTCCTTGAGCGCGTGTGAGTGCGCATGACTAGCGCACTTCATGTCTCTTGCGAGCTGATGCTTTACCCAAGGTAGGGTTGGAATGTGCAAGGCTGGCGCGCTTGGGGGGGCTTGTGACTGGCAGAATGAATTCCTGCACAACGCGCTGCAGGTTGAAGGCGCGCCAATGGGAGGCGCTGTAAGGGGTGTAGGGGCGCTCTACAAGCTGATAGGATCCGCGCGATGTGCGCGCCTTGAAGCGATTTCGCGCGAATTTGATTATATTGGCCGAACACGCGAAGAACGGCCATTTCTCTGCAAATGCGTTAGCAGGAGATGTATATAGTGTAGAATTAGGCGCAAATGTTGTGCAAATGGGCTGTAAGGGTGGTATATCAAGGCGCAATAGGCGCATAGGTGAAGGAGAATAGTGCACATCAGGGCGCGCAGGAATGAAATTGACATGGTAAGCAAAAGCGCGAAGAATGCAAATAAATGTGGGAAGTGCGAAGTTAAAGGTGATGATAGGGGAGTTAGGCGCATATGTATGTGTCAGGTGCGCGCCTAAGTCGCGCCTGGATGACTGATTGTAATCTACCTTGTGTTGAATGACAGAAATGTGATTTAAAAGGGGAGAAACAATAGAAACGCAATAGTGCAAAAACTCTGCTAAAATTCTGAATGCGCGAGGCACGGGAACGTGCGCGATCATGGCGGGTGAACAAGGGGTGGTGCGAAGATGAAATTAAAGTGTTTGGAAGCGTCATATAGCTCCTTAAGAGCTTCAAACATGAAAAAGACAAAAAGCGCGAAATGAGACGAGGGTAAATATACAATGCCTCTAGGCGCGCGCATTGCGTGTCCTCAGGCGCAATATGGTGCGCCTGAGTCGCGCCAGGGTCGCCTGAGACATGCTCTGCTTGGTGGTTAGATGGTGTGATGCATGGACTGGAAGCAAAAAGCACGATGTGCGCGTGATCGTGAGTGACATCTGGAATTTCCAGAGACAAACTCTGGTTGATGCAAGGTGCGACTTGAGCCTTTGATGCGGTAGGAGGCTCCTCTATAGGCGCGCTAAGGCGCAATTGATGTTTAGGGTCATCCCTGACCTCTGATGATGCAAGCAGTGATAGCGGTGATGGCGATGGTGCGTTTGGCGAGACTTCTTCCTTAAGTGATGCGATAGGCGTGTGTGTTTCGAGTGATGGCGTAATAACTTCCACAATGGGCGCATTATTGTGCAATAGATGTTTAGGGTCATCCCTGATCACTGGTGAGGTGATAGCGATAGGTGCGCGCGATGCGATAGCGATAGACACGCGCGATGCGATAGCGATAGGCACGCATGTTTCAACTGGCGCATTAGTGTGCAATAGATGTTTAGAGTCATCCCTGACTTCTGGTGATTCGATAGCGGTAGGCACACGCAATGTGATAGCGATAGGTGCGCGTGATTCGAGCAATGGCGCGTTAGTGTGCAATAGATGTTTAGAGTCATCCCTGACTTCTGATGATGCGAGCGGCAATAACAATGATGATGATGGTGATGATGCGGATTGTGAAGGAGATGGTGCTGCTGAGGATGATGGTGAAGAGGCGCCTGTGGTGCGCTTCTGGTTGCGCTTAGCAAGTGTGCGCTTGAGTTCATGATCTAAAGTGATGCAGTCTGGTATAGCTTTGTGTGCTGGCGCAGTTAATGGTTGAGGTGCGCATGAATCGTGCGAAGGCACGGAAAGGGCGCGCGCGCGAGGCGCGTGAATAGGAACTGGTGACCTTCTGTCAAGTACAACTTCTGAGGGTGCGCGGTAGAAGAGTCCAGCTGTCGCATTAGCGCTAATGGTCGTATCCTGGGTTGCATGGCTCGTGTGATGGCAATCTTTGCACTTAGCCACTGGTGCACTAACTGGCATGCTTGGCGCTACCATGGGTGCACTAACTGGTGCGCTTACTGGTGCGCTTGGCATGGGAAAAGCGCGCGCAGGTAATAGGAACTGCGCAGCTGCGAAGACATCCATAAACGGGTATGGGTCGTATGGATGATGGTCGGGGAACTTGATCATAAGGCACAAGCGGATTTGCGCCTGAGCATCGCTAGGGATTCCTTCCATGAATAAGCGGTCGCGTTCGGCCTTTCCAATACGGTCTTCATCCATGAGTGGCTGCATAATCTTCCTGAATGCATGCAGGTAATTGCTGAGTTCTGTATAAGAGGGCATCGGTTTGTTAGCGTATTCGCGCGCGATGGCGCGCAAATCTGCGAGCGCATAGCATCTTTTACCATCCCATCCAGGATACATTACCTTCACCTCATCTAAGAAGGCGTCATAATCACTTACTTGCGCCTCGGGCATTCCACCCCATAGTTCTTGATTGTTGCGCTCAAGGTAGCGGATAATACCTTTGATGCGGTTGAGTCCTTGGAGTCCTGCTTCATCAGCGAGCTGCTTATATGCGTCAATGAATTCAGCAAGGTTGTCTGTAGTGCCGTCAAACTTGGGTGCGTTTGCCGTGCCATGGATGGGCATTCTATAAGGCATTGAAGCACAGGAGAGGTGCGTGCACGAGGTGCACAGGCATGGGAAAGTGCGCGCACAAGGTGCAGGAATGCGTAACTATAAATTGGTTAGCTTTTGAAATTGCAAGGAGATTGACCTTATGTGCGAAGATGAGCAAAACTAGATCTTGCTGACTGCTCCCCTCGTGGTGGGCTCCAGTTGTAGAAACAACAATACAACGAGGAACAAAAGAGGCTCCTAGCTGTATCTATAAATGTTGTGAGGTTGCGCATTGCCTAGTCTGCTATTCTTGAGACGACAAGTGCGTTCGACCCTAGGGGAAGCGAGTGCAGCAAGGATCTAGAAGTGTGCGCTGAAGCGAAGCACATTCCTGTGCCTTCGTGCCTTGCGCGCACCTGCACTTTCTCGTGCTTCGCTTCAGCGCACACTTCTAGATCCTTGCTGCACTCGCTTCCCCTAGGGTCGAACGCACTTGTCGTCTCAAGAATAGCAGACTAGGCAACACGCAATCTCACAACATTTATAGATACAGCTAGGAGCCTCTTTTGTTCCTCATTGTATTGTTGTTTCTACAGCGCATTGCGAATAGAATACACTCGGCACCAGTACGACATTTAAGACTGTTGAGCTGGAATGAATAAGAAGTTAGTAAGACTACAATGTAAATTTTCATAGACTTCCAAACCTCGTTCTCAACGGCCTTTAAAGTATGGGTGATGTCGTTTACCTTCGACTTCGTTGAAATGCGCATACCAGTAGTTTTGGTATCTCTGTGCTCCGCGAACTCCTTTAGGAGGTCGTCCTGTTCTTGCTTTGACAGCACACGGTATGCTTCCTTATTGTCCTGGACTAGCGACTGAAGTGCAGCTCTACCTTGACTGTCTGGGTGTATATAGCAGCCAAAGAAGACAAAACTTATGATTTTCTTTGTCCTGATTTTTCTTCCAGTAAAACACATTCCAGAGATTTGGTTTCGAGCATTTCGAGCGGAGCGCACCATGACCAAAGTACAACTGATTTTGGATGCGTCAAATGCTCTTCTGGTGAGACCCAGCAATCGTCTTTGTAGTCTCATTGATGTGGTCACAGGCATCATCAAGGGCATCCTTGAATTTGCGAGCCTTGGTACACTGCGCAACCTTGAGCGCTGCTCGTGCCTCTTTGCTGAGTGTGATCTTGAGTTGTCTTCGAGGCACAGTGTTACGACGAGACAAACTGCTGAACTTCCTTGCATAGAATGACTGAAAAACCATTTTTTATCGGGGGGAAGAACTAGATGTTAGCCACATTTTCAGCTTTTATTTGAGGCTTTGAACATACCAGAAATAAAATTATTTGCAGACATTGGCATTCCAGGAAGCGAGCTACATCTGATCCATATTTAAAGCCTACAGAACAACTTAAGATCTAGTACATAAACATTAACCCAAACAAGTAAAGCACACACAAAAAAACCACGATGCCAAGAACCTTCAGGATAATGTTCAGTGTGGTAAGCACCAAACATGAGACAGACTAAACGTGAAAGGTTAGTATGCAAGCTAGCGAATAAACAGATCACTGACCTTTGCAGCATTAGGGCTTAGCGTAATTCCCTGCAAATCAGCGAGGAGAGCCGAAGCCAACACAAAAGCGTGTTCATAGCTGAGATCCCACTTGGGAGATCTAAAAACTGCCTCCCATCAGCTGCTGTGAATGGTGCTGACAAGAATTCGCAATTTTGGCAGAACTTCATCTCCAAGTTTCAGCTGATCCAGGGCAGCATCAGTGTTTGGACCAATACTTATGAGCGCTTGCGTGATTATGGTAGCATCCAAACTATCTTTGCCCTGAGCCAAAAGTGTCGGACCCACTAACTTCTCACCGGGGTTCCTATCAGAATGGAACACATCCGCATGTCGACGTTGACGAAGCTGACATGGCGCTTCTGTAAATGATGTGGGTTGCATTATCTCTTCACGAATAGCAGCCGACAGGATGTTGGCTGCTGGCAAGTTGTTTACAGAAGCATGTAAGTTGCTTGTGAAGACCTCCGGAGGCTGCACAGAGCACTGTATGCGAGTACCGGTAGGAATAGTGGGTGTGGGCAGATATTGTGAATGTTTGAGACCAATATGAGGCGCAGAAACTTTACAATTGAGTTGGTTATATAAAAAACAATGATGAATAACTTACAGCGCTTAGGTGGGTCAACCTTCTCAATAGCACAACATTGAGAAAAACACTGGAGGTGAGGGATGGCGAACTCCTGGGCAAACACTTGGGGCTCAAACAGCAACATCTCCGCCAATGCACTCAGGCGTTGCTTGTAACTCTCGGGGAGTAATATAAACGTCCAACGGGACTTGCTCGGGTGAGAGTTTTGGACCTGCTGCCATACCAGCGCAACGGATAATGAGTGAAATGCCACCATCAAGGCGGTCTTGTACGCTGATCTAGGAAAAGAATTGAAAAGAATTAGAAAATATAATAAAACATGATACTTTGACTTACCACATCAAATACATCCTGCAGCCCTGCTTCTACCAGGTCGTCTTGTGTGAGGGTCTTCTTGTCGGTCTGTTCCACAAGAGGATTGAATGCAACATATGAAGGGTGAAGGCCCCTGTGTGTCCTTGTCTGGTAATGACTACCGTCGACATGCACATCATGCCTAAGCAGCGCCCTGGCAGCTGCTTGGCATTCATTGTTGCTGAAGCCCTGTGCGAATGCTGACATGTGAGTAAGAGCAGCGATACTAGCCATACTGAAGCGACTAGTATTGCTTGCTGCTTCAGCTGGAGACGGTGTAGAGACTGATATCTCTGTGGCCTTGCAGAGGCTATACATGCGACCTGTCTCAGAGTACAGTTTGATGCACAACTTGTGCCAATACCCTTCCAATCATTCCCTATGCAAAGCGAAACTCTCCCGCGCCAAGCGCCAAGCACGCGCTACCTTCCCGCACATCGGCCGCCCCAAGCACAGCATTCTCGTGCGCGCATTAGGCGCGCTTTCCCGCGCTCGAAGCGCCCTATGTCGCACGTCCATCCATTGTCCAAACTAACCTCACTGGTACGTGTTCATATCATTTTCTCCATATCAGACCATATTCTATTTTAATGATTGCTCAATTCTCATGTCATGGACCCTTATTACATACCTTACCTACTCGCTTTGGCTCCGCTTCAGGGGCGCATTTTTAGACATATATAAGTGCCTGTAGTTCATATTTTACATCATTGAATCATATAGAAGCTTCCTGCATCTCACTATCAGTGTAAAGCTCATCTGTCGCATCCCATAGTCAGTATCTATTGGCAATAAGAACATCCTTAACGTCTATTACAAACCTCTGCTTGTAAATCCACCTTGTGCTTTTCCCGCGCTTCGCGCCGCTCAAGCGCTACCTTCCCGCGCATCGGCCGCCCTAAGCACTTTGTTCTCGCGCTCGTGCCTCTGGCGCTTTCCCACGCTCTACGTCGGCCGATGAACGGCACCCTTTGCACCAACCCCTAGATCTCTGCTGCACTTGCTTCCCCTTTAGGGTCAAATGCACTTGTCACTACAAGCATAGCAGCTTAGGCAAGCAGACCCAACACATAGTTCAGAATACCACCATCTGGATCGTTGTTTCTACATCGGTTCACCTCTGGTGGACAAGAACAACAGAAACATTATTGCTCTCAATGCACTTGTTGGCATCCTGCTCGATGCATCCCTCCTCCTACTCTCATGTAATGTAATAGTGTAATAAGTAGAGTACTCAAATAACAAGGTGGTGTGAGCCATCCAAAGATCATGTGGATCATTCAAATGATATTTTTGTTTATTTCAAGATTGTTGTTGGCATTATGATGCCTTTCAAGGTCCGTCCCTCATGTGTCACAACACAGCCATTGTGATGCCTTACAATGGCCAGTGGCAACCATTCTAAGGTCCTAAAATATAATTGTATGTCATTTAAATACATTAGAATAGCCTGTGTGAAAAACGGTCCTTAAAATGTCTACCAAGGATTTACAATGGTCCCTGGAAATTTCTGACATATACACAAAGTTACCTCATCTTCAAAGGAAGGCACATCTAAAATGGCCAGGGGGAACAGCAGACTGATGTGGGTACACTTCATACCAGGGCATTCATGACTCCAGAGATGTGATAGGAACACAGGGGGTCCCATTAGACTAGCATGTACTGTCCTACATAGAGTTTATCTCTCAATGGACATAAAATGGACATAAAAAAACTTCTCGACTTTGTCACTGCAGGTTCAAATGGAGAAGATGAGTGAGAGTTTGGGTTTCATACAATGGTTGTAATCAATTGAATGAATAAGTTCTTATAGGTTCTGTCTAAATTTATGTCATCTGACAGGAACAATGATTCTGCCAAAACAATCAGAATCGTACTCATGCAATATAAAAGCTGGCCGTTGTCCTATAGTAGTCCTCAGTGATATCATTCGAGGACCCCTCAGAAGATTCTGTTGGAATATGATGTAATCCGAGAGAAACTGTAATGGCTGGATAGTCTAGTGGTTAAGACGTCCCCCCGGAGTTGGGAAGGCCTAGGTTCAAATCCTGGTCCTGCCATGATTTGGTGTTCAACAGATTATGAGCCCTGTTGATGGATGTGACCTTAGAAATAGGCACAAATTCTGCTGAAACCAAAATGGCACCTTGTAATCCCTGTGTGGATTAAGGGGGTGTGTTGGAATATGATGTAATCCACACATTGGATGCAGTGAGGGAAACTATAATGGCTGGATAGTCTAGTGGTTAAGACATCCCCCCAGAGTTGGGAAGGCCTAGATTCAAATCCTGGTCCTGCCATGATTTTGGTGTTCAATAATACCATATCACCTCGCACAGAAAATGTGTTTCTCCCTCCTTGCTGTTGTCATCGCTTTGACAGCATCCATGTCTGTCAATGCAGCAACTCCATGTGTGCCTGGTAATAATCCCAAAGCAACTTGCCATGTAAGTAGTGAATGCTGTGATGGCTCACATATTACAGTGACCTATCTCCGTATAATACGAGGGAACGGACGTGCATAATATCCCGTATGATACGGGCCAGTGGACCATGGGCCCATGATAAAAATATCCTCGACTATGACGGATGGGCCGGGAGGCAAATTATTCCCAATGGAGGCGGGTGGGCCCATGCAGGGAATATATAGAGTAGATGAGTGGGCCAATGTACATGAATATTAGGTAGACGGGTGGGCCGAGGTAGTTGGATATTATGCAGATGGGTGTATTAAGGTAGATGTGTATGAGAGAGATGGGTAGGTACTTGTTATCACATTCACGGGTGGGCCCAGACACATATTAAATTAGACGGGTGGGCTGAGGGTGTTATAAAATATTGTATTATACAGGTGGGCCCAGATGCATATCAATTAGACCGGTGGGCCGAGGGTGTTGTATGGGATGTTGTATTAGACGGGTGGGCCGAAGGTGGTATAAAATATAGATGGGTGGGCCCATGTGTATCATAATTGTAGACATGATGGAGCTGAGGTAGTTGTACATCAACCAAATCAGAGGAGGTAATAAATCAAAGTTACCAAGTTCCCGGAGCATCAGGTGATCTCCTGACATGGCAGTGCGAAGCTTGTGTTACCCTATGAGACGCCAAGTTCCGACCACCAGAATTTGAGTCAACTGTACCGAGTTCCGAGTTCCGGGACCCAGAACTCAACACATAATTTAGTTAATACTTTTTGATGGTGCACAGGTTGTCTTGCAGAATGTGGAATCCGGGGTGCGAAGCTTGTGTTGCCCTACGAGAAGCCAAGTTCCGACCACCAGAATTGGAGTCAACTGTACCGAGTTCCGAGTTCCGGGACCCGGAACTCAACACATAATTTAGTTAATACTTTCCATGTTAAATGGCCAACCAAAATTGAGATGTTTCTGAAGAGAGCAGCAGGTGCTCTCTTGACATGGCCTCTGATGGTGCTTAGGTTGTCTTGCAGAATGTGGAATCCGGGGTGCGAAGTTTGTGTTGCCCTACAAGAAGCCAAGTTCCGACCACCAACATGTGAGTCAACCGTACTCAGAGGAGGTAATAAATCAAAGTTACCGAGTTCCCGGAGCAGCAGGTGATCTCCTGACATGGCTGTATGAAGCTTGTGTTGCCCTATGAGACGCCAAATTCCAACCACCCAAATATGGGTCAACCGTTGTAGGGATTCATTTCTGGTTGGGCTTGTAGAGACTGTTTTTACCTTACCTTATGTTGGCACTTTTGTAGCTTACATAATAAAGCAATCTTTTCACCAGTTACCAGTATGAGTCAGAGTGCTCAGTAGTTTTCTATGATATTTCCTCTCCTCTGAGCCTTAAGCCTAGTCCAGAAACCCTTTAGGGTCGAATAGCAGCTAGGTTCTGCAAGACCCAACATATTGTTCAGACTCACCATCTGAATTGTTGTACCTTCACCGTACCGATGTAGAAACAACAATACTGCCAGGAACAAAGATAGCTCCTAGCTGTATCTATAAATGTTGTAGGTTGTGCGTTGCCTAGTCTGTGATACTTGAGATGGCAAGTGCGTTCGACCCTATAGGGGAAGCGAGTGCAGCGAAGATCTACAGGTACGCGCTGAAGCGAAGCGCGAGAAAGCGCAGGTGCGCGCAAGGCGTGGGAACACACGCGCGTATTAGCGCGAAGCGCGGGAAAGCACGCGTGCGTATGCAGAAACAACAGAGAGGTTAGACTTAAGTGATGATATGATACTAGATAAGAGAAGAGAGATGCGAGGTGTAAACAGATAGAGTTCTACTATGTTCTGCTAAGTAGTAAGTAAGTAGTAATAAGTAAATGGGAGGTAAAGTAAGGTTTTTTTAATAGTATGTACTGCTGGCGCTTATATAGCGCGCCTAAGCACGGTCATGCGGAGCCGAAGCGCTACCGAGTAGGTATGTAAAGATATATATGAGTGAGAATCCATGATAAAAATAAAGGTGGAACTATGCTAATAAAGGAAATGGAAATATACGTACTAGGGAGCTTGGTGGACAGTGGATGGATGCTTCTGGATGGCTGGCGCCATAGGGCGCGCAAGCGCAGGAACACGCGCGCGCGTATACATCGCGAAGCGTGGGAATGGTGCGCGCATTGCGCGGGAAAGCTGCGCGTCATATAGAGATAGCTGTGGGTAGTGCACAGAGTGACGCTACAAGTTCGTGCTATGTACTTCCTAGTGTAAAGCGCCATATCAGACCATGAGATGCACGAGTCTCTACACCGACTTCCGAGTTCCGGGACCCGGGAGTCAACAAATGAATATCTGATGACCAGCGAGTCAACCTTACTCAGAGGAGGTAATAAATCAAGGTTACCAAGTTCCCGGAGCTGCAGGTGATCTCCTGATATGGCTGTGCGAAGCTTGTGTTGCCCTACGAGACGCCAAATTCCGACCACCCAAATATGGGTCAACCGTACCGACTTCCGAGTTCCGGGACCCGGGAGTCGACAAATGAATATCTGATGACCAGCACACTTCCAATCAGGTAGTATTTCATTGAGCAATGGATAATAATACATCTTTGACAGCCAAAATTATCCAAGGCTCCCTTATCTGATCCTCTCTATCTCCACCCCCTATAACACCAAAGTATGGACATCCAGCATTCAGCGTCTGATTTCCCAAGATTAACATCCAGCATGAACGGTTCTTCCCCTTCCCCTCCTGATAGCATAAACATCTGGCGCACTTGGGCCCTGACTGTGACTTATGAAGCAGGGGAATATACTGAACAGAAATTCAAGGCAGAGAAGACTGGAGGAGGCCCAGTCATACCTTCCCCCAACCTAGACACTGATCTGGTGATGGCGTGCGATCGCTTGGCTGATGTACTCATAAAGGCATCTAAAAATCCCAGTGGGTCTTCCTGCAGATTCGGAAAATTCGTTTTATCATTCAAATTCCTGCATGACAGTTCAGATGCAGATGGATATTGCAAGATATAGCAAATTGATCTCCCCGAAGGACACCGGGCATAATGAACATAGAGAGGCGAGGTTGCTTGAGAGGTGTCCTCCTGGCCATGAAGGCAAAAGGTTGGTCGACGAACCTGCCACAATTGTCGATGCATCCAGTGCCATCATTGCATGGTACCTCCCAGACGCCCTGACCGACACCACCCAGGTGTGTAATATACATTGTTACTCAATGGATATTGAATATTAATGGAACCTACAGAAGGAAATCAGGGAGGCCACCGATTTGCTCGCTCTAAGCCTCAAAAAAAGTGTAAGGGCTGATGGCAATTGGCGAACTAATCAAAAGTTGTTCAACCGGGGCTCGGAAGATGTTGGACCAACTCCCGGATGCATCAATCTATCTCCGGCATGGTTTCAACAGGGACACGAGGTAGGATCTGATGGGATGGTGATTCCGGCAGTCATACTCACCAATCCCAAAGAATATGTCAGATCCGGAGGTATCTGCATCATTGAAGGGACCTTCCTGTGAGAATATCCTCAAAGCCATTGCAAGGCCAGCAGCCATCACGTCCGCGGCACTCAGAGTCATGCATCCTGAGCAGTACTGGGCAGGGTTGAGAACCTTGTCAAACCTTGGAAATATAGCAGTAAGCAAGGATCTGCCACAGATGCCGGAGGCCCTGCAGTACTGGGCATCCGTGTTTAACACCCTCTCCATCATTTCCAATCGGGAAACCCCCCATCATCGAGACCACATGTCCATTGCTGAATGCTTCGACATTCTCACCACCGTGGGGAACTATTCTAATGCTCGGATGACAATGCCAAACCTTCAGCTGGAGTTCAAGTACAATTCCGGCTGTATGATTGCGTTTTCCGGAAGGATTGTGAGACATGGAGTTTATGATGTGGAAGGGGATCGGATTGCTTGGGCATGGTATATGAGGGATGCTGTTCACATTTACGCTGGTGTTCCATCATGTGGATGGGCTAGTGTGGATGGTGCATACAGCATGTGAAAGATCAAACAAAGAGCAAGCATTGTGACCTATATACATTCCAACAAATGAATACCATGTACCAATTGTGATCCAGACCTCAATACTCAATTTTGAGCATTTCCAAAGTGATATGTGGGACTGAATAATTTGGATGCAAGCCTCGGTATTCGATAATTGGAACTCGGGACTTGACATGTGGGAGTCCCGAGTGCTGGGGTACTGAGTCCCGACACCCGGACCTCAGCACGTGATATTTGAGACTGGGGGAAGATATATAAATACGCTCGAATTAACATTTGTTATTGCCATACACATTTGACAAAACCCTGAACCCCGACATTGTGGACTCCGGACTCAACACTGTTCTGAATACAGAGTCCCGGACGCCCAGGTCCCGAGTCCTGAATTTCGGAGGTCAGGGTTCGGCGACCTGGAGCTTGGCAACTGTGTTGGGTGTCAGGGCATCCGGGGCATTGGAGATAGCATTTGTCAGTATTTTGCGTTTCATGGTTCATGTTTCTTGGTTAAGGAATCGGGCGTCAGGGACTCGGTATTGAGAACAGTGTTGAGTCCTGGACGCCCAGGTCCCAAGTTCCGAATTTCAGAGGTCGGGGTTCGGCGACCTGGAGCTCGGCAACTGCTGGGTGTGGGTTTCAGGACTCGGGACTCGGAGCTCGTGACATGGGACTCAACACTGTTCTCAATGCCAAGTCCCTGACGCCCGATTCCATAATCACGAAACATAAACCATGAAACTCAAAATACTGACAAATGCTATCTCCAATGCTCCGAGTACCCTGACACCCAACACGGTTGCCGAGCTCCGGGTCGCTGAACCCCAATCTCCGAACTTCGGGACTCGGGACCCGGGACTTGGGACTCGGGACTCGGAGCTTGTGACCTGGGACTTGACACTGTTCTGAATACCGAGTCCCTGGTCCCCAATTCCATATTCACCCAACATGAACCATGAAACGCAAAATACTGACACATGCTATCTCCAATGGTCTGGATACCCTGACACCCAACACAGTTGCCAAGCTCCGGGTCTCCGAACCCTGACCTCCGAAATTCGGGACTCGGGACCTGGGCGTCCGGGACTCGGATGTGAGATTTTTGAATGCATAGAATATGTTACATCTTGTATACAATGAAGACTGAATGGGACTACACTCCTTTGCCTTTCCTCAATTTCTCTAACATGTCAGTGTACATCTTCACCTCTCCCATCTTGGCTTTGATGCCCTGATCTTGCTCCTCCATCAATGCTTCCATGCGTTCTTTGATGAACCTCAGTCCCATGAGTGGTGGAGTCGAAGTGTTTTTCAACTTCTCTGGAAGAACCAAAGCATCATCCTCAACATTAAGCTGAAACAGATAAGTCATCAATCAAGGTAATTCAGCTAACATCTTACTGCCCAATACTGGTAGTGAGAGATGCAGGAAGCCATTATTTCATCCCACTGCCATGGTTGATCAGGGATTGTGGTGTTTCCCATCCACCATGGACATGTATATGCGAACACAATCCGGGACAGATGTCCTGCAATTGGCTCATCATGAAATGAAAGGAGGTGGAATGAAAAGACGTTGTCCGGAACCGTGTTCCAGGTTAGCATGGGATACAACTTAAGGATATAAGCGACAGGGACTGGAACCACCGACACGATATTCTGTGAAGCAGAGTACTGCAGGAGTGGTGTGACAAAAGTCTGCTCACATTCTTAGCATTGACCAACAAAGTCATCAGGGCAGTGGTGACATACATTCATCTCCCATTGCAGCCCAGCTTTAAAATACTTGATCCGGTCAGAAGATAGACCATTGTTGGCAGCTTCCGTCTGATATTGAGAGATGCATGCACGGACGCGAGATCCAGCCATTGCCAATGTGCAGGAAATAGTTGCAAGACTCAGCTTCAGGGGTCGGTAATGGCTTCCGGCATTCAGAGTGCCAGAAGTGGATGCATGAGATGCAGACATGGCTGATACAGGACTATGGTGCTGGCAATACAAGTGAAAGATGGTGAAGATGTGAAGATAAGAATCACTGATGGATGGATACGAAATTCAAACTCCGACATGGGCTGACCCGGACAATTCCCGGGCCTCAATTATGTATGTGGAAAAAGGGACTTCATGAGAAAACAATGTTCATTCATCTCCAGCCTCTATCAACACGTTTTGTAGGTCTTGAAAAGCTGCCTGCACATCCTGTGCGAGCAATGAATACATTTGGGATTGCCTTCCAGCGTAGCATCTGTGACCCGGAAGTCGTTTCTCCAATGATTCCTGCATGTGCTCGCCCCATTGGGTTGTTTTCCACAAAAAGAACTTACATGTCCAATCCATCTCCAATTTGACCAATAGCATTTCCTCCCTCCATCGATCCTGTAGTGCCTTTGCCCTCAGCCAATGGACTCAGTAAACTTGGCATGGGTCCAGTCAGGTAACCGCGGGATATGACATGCAAGCAGAAACTCACATTCCTCATTCCACAATTGATCGGGACCCCCGAGGTCGACTTCAACAGACCAAAACCAAGCCAAAGATTCATTTCATTGACCTCGGGCATTTGGGTCTCCCACTGCAGTGCTGATTTTGAGTTGCTCGCGAAGCAGGGGTTTGTATTTCTGAAGCTGGTCTTGCCCCGGCTCAAGTTTCATCATTTGCTTCCTTGTCTTTGTATATATGCTGGCATGGAGGGAGACTGCCTGCTGCACCGACGTCACCTGGGACCAAGCTCGAGTTTTCAGGGCCTGGGATTTGGCCTGCCTAACAGTTGTTCGGAACAGGATGGCCTTGTTGCAAAGGTAAATGCGGAGATTGTGAAGGGCATCATTGGCCTGCCCTTCACGAAGCGACATCTCCAGGGGAATCAGATCCTCTGCCATGCATCATCTGCATCTATCAACCCCCAGGTTCGATGGCAATGGGATTACAGTGAGCTCGGGCAAGTTTGTCCATGTATGAGATGTCTCTGTGAAATCTGCCAGGTCATCATCGAGATCATCTAGAATGTCTACGTCCAAGTCCTCAGGTTCATCATCTGCATCAAATCCCTCCCCGAGATGTGTTAGAGCAGACCGAGCAAATCCATCTATCTGGCCTTGGAGCCGATCTCGTTGACGGGCGATGTCTAATCTCTGTGTCTCAGTGGATCTTCTTCCGATCCTTTGGACCTCGATGAGCAATGCAATCTGAGCCTCTTCAATTGCTAACCCTGTCGATATCCATGTCACCACAGATCTGCGAGAGGGTGCTGCATTGCGGGTGTTACCCTCCTCTAACAATCTAAGCTCAATCTCCTTTTTGCTAGGTGCTGAGTGCAATATTAATTCAGACCTCGATGGAGACAATGGAACTCAACTTACCCTTTTTGATATTGATCTCATATTCATCCATGGCTGAAGGATCATTCAATCTGCTTGACTGAGCTATCCTCTCCCTGGCTAACCATTCTGTCTTCAAATGTGAGGGTGCTGCTTCATCGAGTCTGTCGAATGCCTTTCCACTTTCTAAGATACCATTCCTAGCCAGTTTGTATTTCCAGCATAGAGTCCTTTTCATGTGAATCATCTTGCAGAAATTGGAGTCATTCATCTGATAATCAAGGCATTCCTTTCAGTGGGGAGATGACATTCCCCGAGCAGCAGGGGAGATCAGATTGAGCCGTGCCCATAGTGTCTCCATGATCTCTCCATCGATCCGACCAATGCCTTCAATAAAGTTAGAAGCATATCGGACATAGCAGCTGTCCTGATGGCCATGAACGTGCCACAACCCAATTCCGGGAATGATGGTTAGTTGTGGTTCCATTTCTAGAAATCGACTTCGATCCACCCGAACCCGAAAGTGTTTATTGTATTGACAATTAATATCATAGAAGGTGACAGCCCTGGTGATGCCTTCCATGTTGTGCCGGGAAGCCTCGCAAAGGGTGTAGTCCATGTTCATTTGTCTGCAAGTGACCCCCCATGGTTAACTCGTGAATGGGGAATGGTGGATGTGGCTTGCCTTTCGCCTTTCTGAAAATCCACCATGGAGTGAGGGACAAAGCAACCGTGTCTGGCACAGGCAACTCCCCTGATACCGGTGGACTCCAGCTTGTGCCTAGCAGCATTAGCTTGATTTACTGCCCGGTGATTGTTGCAGCTTGATTTTTCCACTGTGTCAGCAGCCTCTGCCAGGTGCATTTTATACCTGTCCTTTCCTACCATGAATCCAAGCCCATCGGACAGCCAAACTTCATTGAATGGCTTAATGGGATGCAGATGTTCGGCTTTGAAATTTCCGTCCATCACAAATGACCGGGTGTATTTCCAGCTTGGATCCCTAGTATTATTATGGAGGCCACATAGGTTGAGAATAGGACTCACTCATCAAGAGATTCATCCTCTGACAACAACACATTAATCCCAGGCTGAGGACATGCCGGGCAAAATAATGCAAGTTCTCCTGTGCTCGGGTTATCAGAACGATGGCCGAAGCCATGCCATTTCATTGTCTTCAACTGCCTCCACTGTCGAGCGACCCTCATGAGCTCTCTGTATCGGTCCTTGCAATGTGCTTTGTCAATATGATGTCCAGTAGATCATGAGGGTAAAGCATTACCGGAACAAGGTGTGGAAACATGCTGGAGGTCATTCGCCGGAGCTTGCTGTAATAGTTCATCGCTGAGGTGCCGCATTCAAGGCTGTCCAGTAGAAAATCATTGAGCACTCTGAAGGTGAACACAGTCTTTGGCCTGTTAAAAGATGCAGGGAAAAATCCGTGTCAAAACATTTGAATGTCCGGACTCATGGCATTTGGACATTCACAGCATCGAACCTCCAGGCGATGAACTCCGGACTTGTCCACGATGACCATGGTGTTTTCCTTTGGCTGGAACTCGGGTCCGGACACAAATGGCAGATCTTCAGGCTCGAGCAGGTCTTCGGGTTCATCTTCTTCAAACAAATTCCACTGATCGGTGTAGGGATTCATTTCTGGTTGGGCTTGTAGAGACTGTTTTTACCTTACCTTATGTTGGCACTTTTGTAGCTTACATAATCAAGCAATCTTTTCACCAGTTACCAGTATGAGTCTGAGAGATCAGCAAGTTTTTATGGTATTTCCTCTCCTCTGAGCCTTGAGCCTGGTCCAGAAACCCTTTAGGGTCGAATAGCAGCTAGGTTCTGCAAGACCCAACACATTGTTCAGACTCACCATCTGAATTGTTGTACCTTCATCGGTGACCGCCGGACATTGTTTGCCATCATGGCCAAGGTATATAATGAGTCCCACATGAGCTAGACAACTCCGCTCGAAGAATCGCCCATTCCATTGACTGATCCAGTGGAAAGGATTGCTACGATGTTGACTCCTGCAACAGCCCGTGCAATAGAGTGGCTCGCCAAGACAATCTTGACATTTGTACACCCCATCCTGTTGGCAGATGATGCATCTCCTGTCTTCTGGTGGAGCTTCTCGATCAAGGAGGTGATGTAGATATGATTCCTGCCTTGGCAGCCATTGCCTGAGGTAGTCATTTTGACTCTGTATTTTTGAATGCTTAGCCATAGTTTGAATGACACTCCAACATTGTACATGAACTTGCCATGGTTTTTGGGAGTTGCAAAGGCTCAAATGAGCCTTGGTCCTGCTCGTAAGTATTGTCAGGAAAGTCTTCCCAAGGAGGCGGTGCCTCAACAGGCTGAATTGTTGGTGATTCTGGGGGAGAGTTAGGCATGGACCTGTAGGCATGTCGCCTCGTCCTTGCAAGTGGGACCTTGACCCAAGTCTTCCTACCTTTGCTGCCCCTTGCTTCCACCCTGTGAGATTTTTGCACTGGGGTGCATCTACCTATCTTCATCTTGTTTATTAATGTTGCAAGCAAGGCATCAGCTCAGGTGTAATGAATTGTTATTGCAATATGATGCGGTGCAGTCCTGTTGGCTCATTACAAATTCATTTCCATTAATGGCTCAGGGTCCAATATGGGCCGATTAACCATCATTAGGCTTTGCTCAAAGTTCAACTTCGCACAATTCATTAATACTTCCACCTTGCAAATCCTTAGCCATTTCTGCATTCTGATTCACTATGGCAAGAACAGGTCATTCCACCAACACGACTTCCGGAAGACACAGGATGCGTCAACCACAGTCTCAGAAGCTCACGGACAAGGAGATTTTGGAGTTGAAGAACTACCTTCCTGAGTGGACTGCTGCCAAAAGGAGTGAGAAGCGAGCGATTTTCACTGCCATAGCAAGGGCGGCCAGGTTGTTTGCTCCGAAGTTGGACCAAAAACAATGGAAAAAGAGGAAGCAGGTGAGGCTTCTTTGTTGTGTTGAAAAACTAAAATTTTAATGTCACATTCTTTCATCAACTCTTAGGTGTACAAGACTTGGTTGTTCAACAACAAGAAAAAGAAGGAAAGAAAGGACATGATCAAGTATGGGAGGAAATGGACGCCCAGGATGGTGGTCTACCAGCAGAAACGCGAAGAGGTGCTGAAGAGGATTGAGGACGTGTCCGGGGTAAAGCCAGGAGATCCTGGTATGTTCAAACATTATCAGGCGGCGGTGAAGAGAGTCATGGCTGAATTGGACGACAAAAAGTTGGAGAAGGCTAAAGAAACAGCTGAAGAGTGGTCCAACAACTGTCCACCTCCGGAGATACAAGCACAAGTGGCTCGTAAGAAGAGTCCAGCATATATGGAGCACTTTTCGAATGAGATGTGGAGGCAATGTGGGATGAGAGTGTTTGTGATGTCGGCTTGGAAGAATGAAAAGGGCGAGGTGCTGTTCGGGATGTGAGTACATTTATCCATTGACGGAGATCTTTCATCTCAAAATATTCATGCAGGCATGATGATAATGAGGCCTTAGGAGATGGGGACAGCTTCATGAAGACGAAGGACTGGGAGGACATTGAGCCAGTGTGGCAGGAGTATGTGCAGGAACAGTTCAGTGAGTGTGTGAACCATGTATACCAGATTGAACATGTTGAGCATCACAATGATAGGCACCGGGGCACGGGATGGAGGACGTCAGGTCAAGGGAGGTCGAAAACGAATTCGAAATGGATGGGGAGGGTATGCCACTCCTTCCGGACATCACCGACACCAAACTTGAGGAGAAGAAGGCCATAGTGAGGGCCTTTCTTACATTGCACTATCGTGAGTTTGTCGTCGCATCACCTGACAAATTGTTCAATGCATGGACAAAGGGATATGCTCCGGGAAGGACAAGGCGGTTGTGCCATGGAGTGCCATTGTACAAAGTCAGGATGACTTCGTGGCCCGGACATATCTTCCGGCGGATGTTGACTTGAAGGAACCTTTGAAGCTGCAAATTTGGGACACCACTACCTTGCTCCAGTTCTGGCTCGCTCGGCAGGAAACAGGCGAAGGGCCCACATTTCTGTTCAAAGCATGGAAGAACAAAGATGGGGACATGGTACCATTTGTCATATCTGGCAACTCGCCCTCTCCTCAGACTCGTATAGTGAGAAGGCAACAGAGGGTTACCATCCGAAGGCCTCGGGAGTCATCGACAGAAGCTGAGAGTGATAAGGAGAGTGCCACTCATCATACGGAGCATAATGTGGATGATGACCTGGCTGACGGGAGACCTCCGCTGAAGACGCCCAGGACGGGAGGTCCTACACTCAGAGGGCCGGCAGTCCCACATCCAATTCCAAAGCCTCGCCCGGCCAAGCCAGCCACAAAAGGTGCATTACTGACATCACGAATGGGAGACCTCCTTGCTTGGTTAACTGATGACGCGATGGGCGAGGTTAGAGATGATGTTGAAATGGAAGAGAGTATCATGCCGCCAGCACAGAAAAGGAGGCTGGGCACTCGAGTCACTGTTGAACCATCCACGAG